ATTATTATTACAAATGAAGCCAAGCCGATCATTCTGAGATATTATGTTATGACTAGTATTGATATTATATGTATACGCAGGGAACTAGCTCTTTTTATATTCATCAAAAAACCAGTACCTATTTGTTGGTTTGAAGCTTGTTTATACTTTTAACTACTTAATATCTACTACAGTCTTTTAAAACAGACGTTGAATAAATAAATCGATCTGCACGATAGAAGCGGTGGCTGCGCAACCGGCTGCCGTGCAACGTATTGCTGAGTTCGATTCCCTCTTACAACTCTTTGTGTGATTCACAAATTGTTGTTCCGGGTCTAGGTGTGATGTCTATGTGAAATTGTATGTTTGTCAACGCACCCACGACACAGAAGAAAATACAACGTAACCTTTGTGGTGCAACGTAACCTGATGTATAATGTGGATTCTTATCCTGTTTTATAACATCTACGAACAACCAAGCGGCGACTCAAAACTCAGAACTAAAACGCTGCTCGGTCGGTAGGTACCTGTTATGAGCCATCTTGTAACGTAAAATATAGTATCTAATATTTCTTAACTAACTTTATTTTACAGTGCAGTCGTGTATCTCGAACATTTCAACCGAGATTCTTTGAGGTACTTCAAAAAGCCGTTTCAGTTTTCCACCCATTTCGCTCTGACGACTTTGCAGGTACTTAATGTGTTTTCGTTGAGATAAAATGCCCGCACGAAGTCGCTTCTACGTAAGGTGCTCAGCTTCCATCAATATTATTCTAGTCCAACTCTGTGTAAGATTCATAAATGTTTGATCCTAGTCTGGGTGTGATTGTTAACCCAGGGAAAAATCCTAGTTTAGGGTAACGTTTATTACATACTGTGGTCTGCAGGAAGAAATTCTAAGCCACAAAATAAATAAACTTTCCCATAAGAGAAGAAGTCCTTACACAATGCCAGTAAAATGATACAGGATGTATTTTTCAACAATGAGTTTTGTAGCTAAGCTTTTCTGGTCGGAGTTGCTAGTCAAAATAGTCAGGTGCAGATTTCCATTAATAAAATAATTTTAAAAATCGAGGTCGCTTGCTTATCAATTCTTTTAACATTGCATCTTCGACGTAGGTTGTCTGTGCAGGTCTAAATCTGTTCTAAAAGAAAATTGGAACCATTTTTGTGTATACAAATCTACCGTATCCAGGTATGTAGTAGGATGCAAAATTTATCTCGCAATAAAAATAAATTCGAATGCAATACAATCTTTGACTTTCTGAATCGTAGTCCAGAATTGTGTTTCTGAATAAACGAAAAACCATTTTGTTTGGAACTTGTTTTTCTATATGTTTTTTTTCTGCTAAAGTATTACTAGGTTTATTTTCTTTATCTGTAGATAGAGATTCTGTATTTTAGTAGCAAATACATTTTATACCGTGAAGGTTTACTTGTTCAGAAACATAAAACAGACTATAAAGATACAAATATAGTGCCATCATTTACTGCAGACGTCCGAAGAGAAATAATTTTAATATTTTATTGTAACAATCTCTACAAGCTTCTCTTATTGCTGGTCTCAGAAACTGTCTTAAATAAATTTCTTTTAATGTTTTTGTCAGAGCAGTTGTACTTTTGCGATTTTTCTTTTCTATTTGGGCGCTTTTTTGGTGAATTTTACTCTTTAATTGTTCTTGGCATGTCTGTCATAAAATAATAATCATCCTTTTATGTCTAGTCATCTAATTCGACTTATACGTGTTTAATTTTCTCCTTTAAAGAAAGAAGTCATATTATGATGTTTCTATTCTTTTTGTCGATCTCAAGGAACTTAGGAAATAGGACGAATAAAAGTCTAAATAACCTAAGATAATAGAATCAAACTTACTGGTTTCTAAACGTATGATGTTAAATTCGATTTTATATCTTTGACCTACAACCAAAATATATTAAATATTTGAATACGCAAAGTACCTCAGCAAAAATAACCCTGTGTTTTCCATAATAACTTACGCTAATATAACTTACAAAAACCGTACTTTAAATTAGAACTCAATTTGTAAGCCTTCAAGAGAGAACGTCGGGCAATCAATCGAAAGTTATTACCGCAACTGGAGGATTTTTTGCGTAGTTTTTTCCAATATTTGCGAGCACCGTCGCTTGCCTTCGGGGCTTGAGCTACCATCACACTAATTACTGGGACATAGAGAGTGCTCCGGCCTCAGCGCTTCACGATCATTGTTTGTGCATTCAATAGAGCTTGGAGATTGAAAAACCACAATTTGTATAGAACAGGAGATATTGTGTATCTATGGGCCAATCACTGTGATTGATTTTCCTGACGCGCTGAACAAATTTTTTTGTTTTTTTTTTTTTTTTTGTATCTATTCGGTGCTTCGTGTGTTTTGAGTGCTTAACTTTTTAATATAGGGTTGCATTCATTAAAAATTAAAATTGTATTTCATATTACATATTGTTATTAGTTTTTAGTGCAGTTTTTCTGATAGGAGTGGGAATAAGAAGAGTTAGGAGGAGATGAATTACTTTTTATCTAATGCAGTAAATATATATACGCCTACAACCGTAACTATTAAAACACAGGAATAACTCCTATTTTGCTATTTAGAGACAAAAAGACGGTTGGTGCGGTGGCTGGGCAACTGGCTGCTGTGCTACGTGTCGCGGGTTTGATTCCCGCACGGAACAACTCTTTGTGTGACCCACAAATTGTTGTTCATTCCGGGACTGGGTGTGGTGTGTATGTGAAATTGTATGTTTGTAAACGCACTCACAACACAGGAGAAAATCCTAAAGCGCGGGCAAAGTTTTTTATTAAAAAAAAAAGATGACGTATATAATATTTAAACTAATATAAAAATACTAGCGTTTGCCCGCGACTCCGTTCACGTGGAATAGTGACTTCCTGCAGATTTTTGGTATAAAAACTATCCTATGTCCTTTCTCGAGTTCCAAACGATGGGACACAGAAATCGGTTCAGTAGTTTAGGCGTGAAGGAAAGACAGACAGACAGACAGAGTTAACTTTCGCATTTATAATATTAGTTTGGAAGTTTGGATTTCTATGGCTAAGAAGGACCATATTTTTACGAGTTTGAATACGTAACTAAATTACGTATTCAAACTCGTAAAAATATACGAGTTTGCACTGCGTGCGGTCTTAGGGCCTTTATTGAATAATCCGCTCAAAAACCTAGACCTGCGTCTGACATTTTCTACTAAAAATACTTCCGATAGCAAATTGAAATTCAAACCTCAAGTAATTGGACTTGAGTCACCGCAACGTAACAACAGCAAGGAGGTCGTTAAGATTTTAATTAAGTTGTTATTGATAAAATTTTACAGTATTACTTTATTTATTAAAAATTGTTTCTCCATATTAGGATTTCTTCTATATTGTGGTGCTCAGAAATTTCACATACACAGTACGTCAAGGTTTTTCGTACGGGAATCGCACTAGCGACAAGTTGCGCGGCAGCAAGTTACCATAATATTATTTTTAAAATACCCATCGCAATTTTAACCTTCTAAAATAAATTAAATTACGAAACAGCATCTTTATGTAGCCAAATAATGTGACAATGTAAAAAAGCATATGGGTACGAATCCTTTTTTATTAAACGGTTTTATTTAGCTCAGTTTTATTCTTTCTTGGGTCAAATTTAGTAATTCAAATTTCACCCTCTTCCTGTCAACCGATTTATCTGAAATTTTGTATACACTTTCGATTTTGGTGACAATACAATTATGTGTAATCATAACAATTATAAATCCAAAATGGCGGCCGCTACAAAATGGCGGATAACGTAGGTTTTATCAATCATATCAATATGGGTATCAAATGAAAGGGATCAACGAGCAGAATACAATATAGCTACTATAAACAATTTAAATCCAAGATGGCGGCCGCTACAAAATGGCGGATAACGTAGGTTTTATCAATCCCATCAATATGGGTATCAAATGAAAGAGCTCAACGAGCAGAATACAATTTGTTATGCAAAACTGAAATCTAAGATGGCCGCCGCTACCAAACGGCAGATAACATTTTTTTATCAATGTGGGTATCAAATAAAAGGGGTTGAAAAGAAGAATACAGTGCACTATATAACTTCAATATTTAAGAATGGCGTATAATAATTAGATTTAAATTTAGAAATTGAAACTGTAATTTAGGTATCTGAATAATCCAGCCTGAATCCACCACCCAAGTCAAGATTTTGTATCGTGTTGAGGACTGTGTGGCGTTAGGGTGGCTAAAAATGATACGTCGTTAGCGGTACACCACCCAAGTTAAGGTAAAAGGCTTCGTAGCAGCTTCTGATCCAGAGTCATATTATTACAGTTTACTAATCCAGTATATGCCGTATCGCAATGAGACCGAACTTTTAGGAGAATTCAATAGTGCTAGAGATGCGTTTCTCGCCAACGAAGAAAGTTTAAGACAAACAAACGCCTACTTGGAAATATATCGTGAACGTGACAGGCAGCTTGAAAATGCATTCGCACAAGTACACGCATTTCAGATACTGGAACATGCAGAGCCGATGGAACTAGACCATGAAGAAGAAGTTCCTTATTTGCCAATGAATGAAGACCAGTTCTCACAGGCAGGCTAGAGGCAGTCTATGAATGCAGGACAAAAGGAAATTTTTACATTAGTTACCCAGTCCATACAAAATCAAATGTCAGGTGCTGAAGAACGTTTAAGAATATTCTTTACAGGAGGAGCTGGTGTGGGCAAGACTTTTTTATTAAAGTTATTACGAGACCAAATTAATAGGTGCTACGCAAAGGATGCGGTTAAAGTCTGCTCACTAACAGGAGTTGCAGCTAGATTAATAAATGGAGCTACGATACACAGTACTTTAAAATTGCCTGTACAGAAAGACGGTCGCATAACAGGTATGTCACCGATGTCCGGAAACTATTTACGAATAATGAGGCAACAATGGCATCAGACAGAATTTTTGATTGTCGACGAGATTTCCATGGTGTCTTATCAAATGTTATGCATGATGGACGCTCGATTAAGGCAAATTAAGAATTGTGAAAATGAGTTTTTTGGAGGAGTAAACGTATTACTTTTCGGTGATCTTTTACAACTGCCTCCTATAAAACGATCAGGTGCACCTGTTTTCAAACAGCCAGAACATCTCCAACCAGCTACACATCTCTGGCGTTTATTCACGCTGTGTGAATTAACTGAAAATATGCGTCAGCAAGGTGACCACACTTTTATTGATATTTTGAATGCTTTGAGAGTCGGTGAGCTAACAACCCAACATTTTAGTATTTTAATGGGAAAGCTTCTTCAAGACACTAGTGATGAGTTTGCAATAGACAAAGCGTTAAGGGTATACCCCACAAATCAACAACTTAACGACCACAACTCTGCTGTATTGAATTTGTACAGAAATAATGGTGCCCGCATTTACAAAATAAAAGCGCAGGATCAGCTAGTACACGCCACACGAAATGCAGACAATGTCGATATAGCTACTATAATACCAGCTGATATCAACAAAACTGGGGGTTTACCATCGGAACTTGAAATATTTGTGGGGGCAAAAGTCATGCTACGGTCCAATATTGACGTTTCAAAGGGTTTGGCCTCAATTTCGTCGAACTCAGATGTATGCAACAGATGTACCTTCCGTCCGAATTGATTTCGCAAAAGACGGAGTACATCTTATACACCCGAAAGCTATACAGTTTCCAGCTAAGTACAATTACGGGACGGATGAAAGAAGAATGTTGCCTTTAATACTATCGTGGGCTTCTACAATACATAAAATGCAGGGCAGCACTGTGGATCACGCAGTCGTATACTTAGGTGCGAAACTGTTTGAAGAAGGTCAAGCCTACGTGGCTCTTAGTAGAGTAAGATCTTTGCAGGGACTTCGTATAGAGGAGTTGGATTGCAATAAACTAACGGGCAAGAAACCTTGCAATAATGAAGCACTAAATGAATTGAACAGAATGCGAAATAAAAACTAAAAACTAGAAAATAAAAATAGGTAAAAAAACTTTTTAAGTTAAACGGTTTTATATTAAACATACATTGCAATGTTTAAGATAAATGTACTAAACACCAAAAAATAATAAAATAGATACAGTCGTGGGAATTATAAGCATATGCATAGACTAGACTAAAATAAAACCGTGGGGCACGTCAATTGTCTACAAATTATCGAATTAGTGTGCGATAGAAGAATCGTTTAATTCGTCGTTAGGCAGTTGACCCGCAGACGGTGAGGAAATTACTTACTATTTTCTTGCTAATGGAAAGTCCAATAGTTATATACTCCATGTAAATAAGAGAGATGTTTCAACTAGTTTATCGTTGGACATTCACACTGCTGGCTGGCGAGGAGTCGTTTCACTGCTCGCAGTTTGTCTTTAATCGACAAAACATATGATAAAAGTACTAAGTACTCGCTCACCACTATGAAACCCTAAAACTCGTTTTCACATTCTAGCCCTACTTATAACAAGTCCATCGTTGTCAGTTGAACAACTGCCTAATTATCTGTAGTGTACAGTACAAAACAACCATTTTAATCAACGATTGTAGACAATTGACGTGCCCCACGGTTTTATTTTAGTCTAGTCTATGCATATGCTTATAATTCCCACGACTGTATCTATTTTATTATTTTTTGGTGTTTAGTACATTTATCTTAAACATTGCAATGTATGTTTAATATAAAACCGTTTAACTTAAAAAGTTTTTTTACCTATTTTTTTGACATAATACATACATATAAAGTCAAAGAAAATAATGCGTAACAAATCCTTTACCGTTTAACAATATAGGCTGTATGCGTATTTTGTCTTGATGTTACTGTGAGCTCGTAAAGAAGTTACGCAGTTTTGGCCTTTCGGTCGTCAGTATCCATTTGAGAAGCGGGGGTGGTGCACGCCCTCCGCTCCTAAGTTTCCCGCCAATATGTACGCGAGAGGTACGGCCGATATTTCGCGAAAGATTTCGATTTTATATGAGTGAAATTAAATAAATTATTTACAAATTATTATTTATTTTAAACAAATACGTTAAATCACAAAGTAGATTACTTTACAAGAAGTTTTAAGTTATTATAAATATTTTTTTAATTATAATTTTTTGTTTATGATGTTGTTTCAGTTGTAACATTGGTGCTAATTCTCGCCTACATAGATTGTATACAAAGTTTTGGTAAGTTTTTTTTTATTAATTATTATTTATTTCAAGATATATACCCGACTAGTAACAAAAAGTTATGATGATTGACGTTGAACATTGAACTTTATTTAAATACAATTAAAATCAAATATCATTATGTACATATACTATATGTTGATAAAAAATATTGTGTAATTATGTATATAAATAGGTTGGTATCCGGTAGTACTATCAATAACCATTCGCTAGTTTACGTTTGAATTAAATTAAAATGAAAAATGTAGCTCAGACCTTCCCTTTCTATTGTTTTTCGTTTTTAAATTTTCACACCAACACACACTTGGTGTTGGTCCTAATTGTTTTTTTTTCTTATTTAGTGAAGCGGCTATTAACGCGAAAAGTAATTATTTTAATACCATGGAAGGCTTAACATTACGACCTGGTTGCATACGTCGTTTTCGCAAGCAGGCACCTTAGCATTCCAAGGTAGGTACCTATATAAATAATTACTTTTCGCGTTAATGCCCGCTTAATAATAGGGTGTGCAAATAATTAGAAAACTCGATTCTTTTTGTAGTTTGGTATTATTTTTAACGGCTTACTTACGTAAATATTTGACGAGGAACCCGACTAGTTCCAAACTACGACACTAAGGTCTCATATTCATGGACACCATTGCGCGACACATTGTTTTTTTTTAACAAAAATAATACTTATTACCTAAGAAAAGTTAGTATTTACACACCCTGTATAATATCGGGCAATAACAAAAAGCGCTATAATAATCTGTTCTTTATTTAAAAACATACGCTGTATCTATCGTATTACTAAAAAGCTTTTTGACAGCTGAGTTGAGTAAGTTTGTAATGAATGTATGTCAAAAATACTAAATGAGATTCATTTTACCCTAATAATAGGAAACAGAAGTGAAAATGTTAAATACGTTTTAACTATGCAACACTGAACAATGACAGTGATTTTAATCTGTCAGCTAGGTATATTTAAGATCAGTGTGAAAAATGTCAGCGGGAACTCATGTCTAGCTGTGGATTTTTACGGGTTATCGTATAACTAATATTATTTTAAATGTGGGACAGCCAGAGTGATGCCACGGGTTCAGAGAATACTAGCTTTAAACACCTCTTATGCTGAATTTCACCATGTATGTGAGGTTACTAGAGGCCCAATCCTCAATACCCAAATCCCTGACAACACTGTAAAGCCGTGGTATCACTCCGGTCGAGCCGACCCATTCGTGCCGAAGCATGGCTCTTCTAAACCTACATTACTTATTATATTTCACTGTCTAGTCCATTACTGGTCGTTCATTTCGAATTAAACACCACATTCATACCTGCATATTGAAACCAGATAAATCTAAGATATTGAATCAAAGAAAAAGATATAACTCTTGGCTCCGAAGCACTCACCCAACCGTTCCATGTATTTCCAAGCGATTAGTCGTTCTTCGATTGATTTTCAAGCAGAACGCGAATAAATCTCCTTTGATATCAAATTTATCACGAGATTCTTACGTCTCATTGAATATTGCCATCCGTTTGGCGCACTTAGCTCTGATGTCAGCTCCCCATTTCAAATAAATTTTCTAATTACATAAAGGCTACCGTTTGAAATTGGAAATTAATGTAATTGAGTGAGTGTTGCCAGCGGTGTCTCATTGAGCCATTTTCTTCTAATTGAAAATTGTTTGTTCAGGTTCTAAAGGATGTTGGTGAAATATTTTTTTTATTTTACTCAAACTATGCAAAATGGGGCCTTTATATTAAATGTAGATAAAAAACATCGAATAAAATTAGGTTAAAATTTTGTAAATTAATAGGGTGCCTACATTTAGACTTGAGTAATTATGTAAGTAGGTAGCTAATGGCATATCCTTGCAAGACTAACCTAAATTTTAGAGTAATGCTGGAGTTTCTTGCTCGTTCTTCTCAATTTGGAATGAGCACCAAGCTTCACTGACGAACAGACTGACAGACTACTTTTCTATTTTGACGTTTCTAAAGTACCTATTTATTGTTTAGTTGGAATAAATGATTTTGACTTTAAAAAAACTTAAAATATACTTACTTTAAAAATCGAATAAAAATTATAATATTAAAAAACTACTCTTTTTGAATGTCAACCGAGTTTCCCATTAAATGTGGTCGTCCATACTGCCACTGCCAGTGTACAAAAATTAAAGCAGTGTGTACAAGACGGCGCTGTCAATGCCAACGACATTCACCCCGGATTTTGCTTCGACGTTTGATTGCGATCTCTTTGAACCTATTTGCAAAAGATCTCGATTAGAGAGTAGTAAACATGAAATTTAACGTAAACACCTGCATCATTTTTCACGATTGGTTAATAATATATGGTAATGAAACTTTTTCCGAGTTATATGTACTTTCTATGATTATTTAGAGTCAGTAGTCTCTAAATTTAGTCACTACTGACATACGGTGAAGGTAAACATCGTGAGGAAACCTGGACTTATAATTTCCAATTATAAGTTTCAAATCGCCAACCCGCATTGAGCAAGCGTGGTGATTAATGCTCAAACCTTCTCCGTGTAAGAAGAGGCCTTTGCTCAGCAGTGGGCACTTATGGGCTGATGATGATGATGATGATAAGTGTGGGAGAGCCATGCTTCGGCACGAATGGGTCGGCTCGACCAGAGTGATACCACGGCCTCACAGAATACCGGCGTGAAACAACCACAGCGTTGTGTTTCGCCGTGTGAGTGAGGTTACCGGAGGCCCAATCCTTCCCCGCCCCCAATCCCTCCTCAATTCCTAAATCTCCAAGTCCCTAATCCCTAAAAGGTCGGCAACGCACTCGTAACTTCACCGTTACCATCAGGTAATCCGTCTGCTCGTTTGCCGACCAATTACATAAAAAAAAATGAATGAAATCGGTCCTAAATAAATAGTACTAGTAATAAGTTTAGTAGTACTCTCCGCCTCAAGGGATACAATACAAAGTTTTTAAGAGACCATTGTCGTATACACACTCTGAATAGTAAAATTAAATACTTTGTCCAATCAACTAAAACATTAGCTACCTACATAAAGGTATCCTTGAATTATTGAATTTGTTCGGAATCCCTTGTCAGTGACAATGAGAAGTCGATACACGGGTTGAATTTTAACAAGTTTTGACTTTGGTGTGTCATTAATGTCTAATTGTTTGTTGAAACTACAAGTACATTTATGTTTTATGTATTCCAAGGTTCCATATGTTGATCGGTTGGTTTCTAATGGATATTATTTATTACTTTAGTAATAGTTTCCGTCGTATTGTAGTCTATAAGTAATGATATATCAATTGGGTAGTTTCCTAGGTCAAAAATAAATTAATTCGACGTTTCAATACAATAAAATATTGAAAAATAACTATACTAATTCATCGATCTGTCGATATACTAAGTTTTAAATATTTTTGGCTAATTATTAAGAAATAAGTACGCTATTTGACGCTTAAATACTTTGTCGTCATATCCCAGTTTTTCATACAAATTTCATTGAAAAGTATCGTTTTTGACGTTTGGTTAAAAGTATTGAATTTGACTAGTTGGAAACTAACGTGGTATATTGTGGGTAGCGTATTTGGCTGAAATGTACTAGCCAGTTGTGTCTGACCTTTTTGTTCTTAGCTATCTTCTTCCCAAAATTCTTAAAGCACTAATATATAGTTTGTTAAGAAAAAACACTGATCGTAACGATGTAGATAGGCAGAACTCCAGTACGTATTTTAGCTTACCCATGGTTTGCGGTTTGGTTGAAATTCAGCTCAGGTCCCAGACCTGAGCAAGAGAAGGAACATGGTGGATTTAGTCAGTAAGAGTCCCACCCAGAGACCCAGGTCGTCGAGAGAAGACATTTCATGAAACACAAATTGTTCCACAAATTGTTGTTTCGGGTCTAGGTGTCATGTGAATGTGAAATTGTATGTTTGTAAACGCACCCACGACACAGGACAAAACCCTAGAGTGGGGCAACGTTTTGTTAAAAAAAAGAAACGTGCATACTCCTATTTAAAAGGCCGGCAACGTGCCTGTTACTGCCCTGGTGTTGCAGATCTCCATGGGCGGCGCTGTTCACTTAACATGAGGCTATCCGTCTGTTCGTTCGCCTTCTATACTATACAAAATGATTCTCTCCGTCCAAAAAGGCAGGGTTGCCTCATTTGTTTTTCAGTAAACAGTTCCAAAACTTTTATTTTAAAAAGAGGATCGGTAAGAATATGTAGTACGTTGGTATCCCATCTTGAATGTTGATGTAGAATACTTGCAACTACTTCTGAGTCCCTGGTACTTTCACGGCGTACAGCTTGTGAGTCCTGTGACAAAGTTTTAAGCTGGAGTGAGGGTATCTTGAATAATTTAACGGACGTATACTTAGACAAGTGTAGTTTAAGTTAATACGGTAACTTGTGCTTGTAAGGTTTCTAAGTTTTTAGATTGAAGTGTGTCAGTTCTTATGTTGGGCTAATACTAGCACGACTTAACCATATTTAAAATGAGATTGTTGCTTTGAACAATGGGAATTGGGTGATATTTTGTAGGGTAAGTTAATTTTCTTCAGTTTTAGTTCTAGGCCGGCTACGCGCCTGTGACATCTCTGCTATCTTTGGGCGGCGCCAATCTCTTACGATCCGTCTCCTCGTTTGATTCCAATTCCATAAAAACAGATTAAATTAATTTTTAGGGATAGTCGATTTTTATTAAAATATTTTATTTATTATCATCATCATCATCATCACCATCAACCTATTGTTTTCCACTGCTGCATTGCACGCCTCTGAGCTCGATGTTCAGCTCTTCTCATCCAACCACTGCCAGCCACCTTGCGGATGTCGTCAGTCCACCTAGCTGGAGAGCGCCCTACACTACGTTTGCCTAGACGTGGTCTCCACTCTAGAACACTATTATGTTAGTTATATTTATTGTATAATACATACTTTTGTATACATCTAAAGTCGTTAAAATCACTCTGCCTCCTGCATTTAAAATGCAAAAGAAGAGTTATTGT